TATATATATATGGTAACTGTACAGGAAGATAGCTTTCTTTTTTAACTCGACTTTTAAGGAATCAATTGTTTGCTTCATAAGAGAGTCACGTTTAGACATACTCACCCTTGGAGCCTCGATAAAAGACTTTCGATTGAACTCGTGAGAGGTTTGACGTGTATTAATTAAGCTTCGTCTACCGTTTTCCAATGCAAGCAAGCTATCATCTGCTGATTCAGTCTCCACGGCAAACGAAGAACCTCCTTTCGTATGCTGTACACGCGAACCTCCTGGATCACGATGTCTGTTTTCCGGTGACCGCACCAAAGTAGATTCACTGGACTGGCTTGTAACTTCGACCTGCTCCTCTGATATACTAATAATTACCGTGTGAAAACATTTTAAAGCTGTTGTAACTACGTCCGCGCTTGATCTCTAAGGACGTGTTCCAGAACGCACCTGATTGATGAAAAGCTTTAGCAAGAACAAGTTAAGACCCAAAGAGTATTGTCTGATTGAGAATCGGAACTGAGCGCTGCAACCATGTTTTCACACTTCAGAATTACCATGTGGCTTACGTAAGTAAAACAAGAACAAGCTATTTTCAATTGACGATCTAGATATAATTTTAATGTTTAGCTTGTGTAGTTCATTCACTCCAATGGCAAAAAGACCCCTCTTATAGCCGTAGTTAATTAGCTCGGGGTTAAGTCGGGTCGGTTTTCCAAGGCGATATGTCGTATAATTTTCGGTACTCTTTTCAAATTCAGCCAAACTTACTTAGGTTGAAGTAACTTTAGCAAACAGCTTAGTGGACGACCTAAATAACCTATAATAACACGTACACCACCCAACTTTTAGGATGTATTGAAGATGATGCTGAAAAGCAAACCATTACTCAAATGCTACATAAATTAAATACTAGTAGCGCAGTAATGATTCGTTAATCATAAAGCGTGCATTTGTTATGAGGCTTGACATCAGTATGAACTCCAGACAGCGTTTTGAATGTGGGATGGATGACTGTGCATCATATTAACAGTCAGTTCGTAACGACTGATGGCCATGAAAACGTCCATTGTCTAAAACAAAAGAAGTTTTCCATAGCTGGGAAAGCGTTTTTGTTTGAACGGCAATGGGCTGAATGTCCAATAGGTGATATTTCATCGCGTCCTATATTCGTCTAAGGAAGACTTCATTTTGACCATTAGGCTTCAAGCTGACGAGACGATCACGAAAAGTACAGTGAGCTTAAACAAATAATAAGTTGACGGTTAAGTTCAGCGTCCGGCATCCGCAGTCATATCGGAAAGCCAAACTCAATTATCATTCAAAATATAAAGAGAGTATCTGCTACTTACTGGCCGGCGCTTGTTTTGCCCACTTTGAGCTAAATGATTACGTATTCTGTTTCAACTTACCCATTGAAAACTCTTGTAAGTTGCTGCCTTGCATTTCGGAAGTCGTCCAGTCCACTTTCCTGAATAGGTTTTGTAAATCATGAGAAGATTAATATCGCTTATTAACAATTTATTCTTGGTGCAAACTTTCAACTTACATGAATAAATTACATCCCGTTTACTTCTAAACAACCTCCGTAATAAGATAGTTTTATAGACTAATTGACTGGCCTATTAATTTCTTTGTTCCAATATTGCTCCGACGAAATTTTCTTTGTTTGATGCAATTTCTCTCAGTAAACTGAACTTTCTGCTCAATTTCATACTTTGGACGAGCTCTTTACAAATCTTCTTCGTTACCTGTGTGCTTGAATGAAGCTGGAAATATAACAGAATTTACTTACTACTAATAATAGTAGTAATAAATGCTAATCTGCTATAAGCAAACTCGGCGGGCTTTGAATTTAGATAATTTTCGAACTTTGTCGGGCTAGAATGATGATTTTTTAATGGAATAGAGGTATCCTCCTTGGCTTTTTTATACGTGTGTTCTCCTGGACAGCTGGCAGTTTCTAAACAACCATATACCTATTATTCGCATTCCCATATGCAGTCTAATTATGCCTTCTCGAAGTAAATCTTTGATAAGATATGCTTGTTCATCTGTTGCCCTTTTGAGGGCGTGGAAAGTCTCGCAGTCACATGGACACAGACGGAGAGAGTAAGCAGGTTGAAACTAATGTCGGATATTTTTTTGCGCAACCCGGGAAGTATTTGAAGCGATGAGGTCCAGCATTTATCATCAAGTAACCAGACCGCGTACCTCCGAGTGGAGCGCCAACGGTCTACGATGCTCTTGAGGGGCCGAAAATAGTTAAGCTGCATACATTGTTTTATTTTACTGTCTTTTTATAGCAGATGCCCCTGGTGTCCATTGCAAGAGCTACTATCATTTTGCACGTATGAACCCATTCGACAGTGCCGCCAAACTCGATTTTTTCTTCAGGGAGACGCCATTCTTTACTCCTGGCTCCTTTTCGGCTGGCGGTAAGGATTGAACTATGTCTCCTTTCTGCTCATTCTCTGTAAATCCGTAAATTGCATGCGGCTTACGCTACTTGCATTTTCAGCTGGCGTATAGTTAATTTATGGAGGACTTGCTGTACTCAATTTCCGCATACTCGTTGTGTGGATTCTAATTCTGCGGTAAGTTACATGTCCTAGTTTTAGTTGACAGAGCTTTTGTACTTTTAGAGAAAACGACCCTGCGGCAACGCGTTCTTGTTAATATCTTGCCACCTTTTCGCTAAAACACTCTGTTTTTGAAACGTTTGCGCCATTTACGTCGTGTGCTTTCGTCGAAGGCCTCTCTACCTATTTTCAATGACTTTCCATAATTCTGTGACCTTCGAGGAACAAAATCTTGATTACTGAGAGAGTCAATTTTCGCGACTAAAAGATATTCTTCATTCTGAACTCTCTCCTAACGTAAATTAGTAAAATAAAACCAGTTGTCACTCATAAACTTTTAGATCACTGAGGTCTTTTCCGATAAAGGCTCGTAGCCAAAAGTTATCTCTCTTTCGAAGTCGACCGAATCCGCTTGTAACAGCTGAAAGGTAGGAGGCAACGCTTGAACTCTGGACAATCTGAAGCAAGCGGTGGGTTATCAATTACCCTCAACGTACGACACGGGTAATGAAATTCGAATCAATGCTGCAGTGGTTACTTATGTGCAATACATGTTTAAAATTTCATTCTTGCTATCGAGTTAGTGTTTCAAGTCCGCTAGGTAACGAGTTTCAAGCATAGCAAAGATCATCTGATGAAAATCATACTTCCTTTAGAACTAACAATCGGCTTAGAAGACCTACCATTATCGCTGTATGAACCACTGGTAGACCAGAGTTCGAAGTGGTAATCTGCATTGGTTCACATGTAAACATTCATTACCAATGCCGAACTTGCAAAGCAGGAGTACTTGTCAGAGCGTGTTATCAAAATATATGTTGGAGAAGCCACCCCTTTACAGGCGTCATCGTCACGTCTGTGCATGCAGGTGTATGTATCATGTGTACATGTAAATACCAGTCTGCTGGTATCATAAGGACGAAAGCATGCTCTACAACGTTGAGCGACTAGGAACGTACACGAAGTGAAGGATGCCGTTCGATCTAACATTGCCAAGCTCGCCCTATCGGCTGACATCGATACTGAATTCCTAGGAAGGCTTTGAAAACATTTAGCTCCTCCTTAAGTCAAAGCAAAGTAAGGTACGGTTGGATAAATGTGTCCCGTTTTATGGGATAGTGACATTGATGAGCTGGTAGGCATAAGATTGAGGCATCGTAGACAACTTTTTAAGTTAGCAGGTTAGTGTGGTTTCGATATATTTCTGCTTTACTGTTGTCATGATTATACGAAAAAAGGGTAGATATCTGCTCGCAGAAATATAATAATACCAGTTCAGTAGGCAAATGTTTTGATTAGTATTTTGGTCGTGTAAATTTTCCAAATTGCGTCGGAAAAGCGAGCCACCTGAGATCATAGCAGCGTTGAAGGCTACCCAAAAGTTGTGCACTGTTATATTAACTAAGTACGTTACTTCTATCAAAATATAATTATATAAGCTCTATTAACATAAATATTTAAGGCCTTTGACTGAGCGTACGAACGAATAAATAACAAAGAACCGTTAGTTTATCGGTACTACCATATTTTTTAAAATATTAGCAAGATGTTATTCTTGTTCTATTGTATTAAGTTTGAAGAACGCTAACGTACACTGCAGAAAGCGGATCCATTTTCACTATCTAAGAAGCGTGGTAAAGAAGCAAACGTAAGAAGTAACCTAACGATGAGACCCCTTAGCGGGTTTAGTTTTCAGCGTATCAATGGGCCATCACCAAGATCCAATAGATATTCAAACCTAAATGAATACCTTTGCTTTCTTAATGGAGATGTGTAACGTAACGTAATATGTCATGCAGCTTAGCGGATCATTCCCAGCTCGAAAATCCGTATTGCTCGCAGACACTAATGATCAGGTTAATTTTCTTTCCCGTATAATAATAAATAGGTTAAACCTACATGTCCCTTCAATCTGTACCCGAAAGAACTCAAAAAAGTCACTTTATTATACTATGTGTTCACCGTCTATTCGGCCTTATGCAGCAGACATAATTGAGAAAAGAGCGTCCTTTGTACTAAATGACTTTTGCCCCTTATTATCTAAAAATAAAGTGGCGCTCATTAATAAGTGAAAAATTTTAGTTCACGAATTTCATCTGTGTAATGAAGCTTTGAAGATAATTCAATGCTAACCAGGATTTTGTTGTCATTGATTTAATATATTCGGATGGCAATATATTCAGATCTGATGTTTCAGTGTAACTTTAGATCTTTGTAAAGGCCGAAGCCCACACTCATCGGCCCGCGTTAGACGGACATTCAGCCTGGTCGTACGTAAACAGCACAAAACGAAGTCTTCCGTCCCGTCCATCGTGCACGATCTTCAGAGGACTTAGGACAATGAAGCTAAATGCGAGGGCTGAAAATTAAAACAAACCAAATTTGCATTATTTATAGACATGCTTTCCATATATCGAACAGAGCGTATCATGGTTATAATTACCTGATGTATTTTATTATTTCCTCTATTTGATAAGCAACTCACACGTTTATTTCTTAGGTTTGCGAAAAGGTAGCTGAGGTACGTTACCTAACTCACGTTACGTTACGAGCGAAAGTTAGGGAAGTTATGGATGGTGTTTTTTTCTACAAAAATTTTCTCAAACCCAATTCAATAACTAACTTATCTGACGTTGAGTTGTTTGCTAACTAAAACCAAATGTTGTTTTTCTTTAAACGCAGTTACGGTCCGGTACGGATAGTTTTCTGTCACGTAGCAATCATTTTTATTAAATCTAAATTAATTAAACCTATCTAATCATCATTTTTATATATGTTTGAATATTTTATAACACTCTTAAGTATATGCAAGGTACCTGACGAAGGTGAAACGATGGACGATGGCATTGCGAACTTGAGAAACGTACATAGGCTTTGTCGATGATAAATTACCACTCCCTGATACAACCATAATCCCGTTTTTTCTTAATTTCATCGTAATTATGGGCCTGATTTTCGGACACTTGGCCCATGGCGATCGACCCACAATAAGTTAGCCTTATTGAAGAGAAACTAACATTCGCATAGACTAAATTTTGTTCATAAATAAAGGGGGCAGACTTGTTATAGGTGGACTATTTCATCATTTTTGTTGTAACTATTGTTACATATTATGTAAAAATTGTTGTAAAAATTAGTGTGCGTAGATCTTCGGTCATCCAATGATAACATTCAACTCGAGTCACGTGAATATTTGACACTTTCTTAGGTTAGGTATCGTATTTTTAAGTGTTTTTGTTTAATATTACCGACATAATGCTACAGCAATTGAGACCAAAATGGCTAGCGTTGCGTTTAAATGTGCCGTTTTAACTGCTAAATCTGCCGCCTCTACTTGTAGACTCAATGATGACTGAATCTGTACTGAATTTTTCTCGTATATGTCAGAAGTGAAAAAAGTAAAATTAGACTCAAAAGAATTTGTCAATCAAATCAGCATCTCCGGTAAACGAAAATACTTTTGATTTGTTTTTTTTTTTTTATTTTTTACGTAATATAACCTCAATATGTTGTGTTGCGAAACGGCGCTGAATTTCCTTAACTTTTATATCGAATGCCTCTAATTTTACGCCCGGAAATCAGGTATTACACGGAAAAAACTTACTCACTTCCACCTTGAGGAGATTTATTACGATGTTGGGCTGCGCCCAAAAATAACAGAGATCGTGCTATTCCACTATTTAGTGCCCCAATCAACTACGAAGCATCTTTATGGCGCGTAACTGTTTACGTGCTTGGGCCGTTGCAATATAATTGATTTGCGTTTAACTTGCTACAGTGGCAACCGGGTCGTGAAGAAAACATTTTTTAAACTAAATTATATAAATAAATGCTGCGCGTCTGCCATTCGAATTTCTGCTTACCTTGATCTGCCGTGTTGCTAAATTATATACCTAGCCATTATAACTAGTGAAATCGCTTAGTGGAATTATATACAGGAGTCCTCTTTAAATTCTTTGTATGCGCTGGATATGGCAGTCTTCATTCACCTCGACTACAGCTTCAGTCAGGTAGCTTTTTGGTAATAATTATGTACTTTTTTCAGTAGCTACATGAAAACCGGCATTTAGACAAAAAAAAAGGAAGTTTCTAATTCTGGCAGGTAATCCGCCTAGCCCGTGTATATTAGATAATAGATGGCCTTCGCTCAAATTTCAAACGAAACATTATTGTTCGCCATAACGGGTCTGTTGTTTCGTTCTAAAAAAAAACCGCCTGATAGCGGATGAGCGTATGTTCAATACGACAAACTGTCCCCAATTTAAACGAATCACCCTCTATATAGATATATATATATATATATATAACAAACGTTAATGCTAATCAATGACAACGTAATCGCAAAAACGTCAAAAGGCGGACAGCGTAGAATCGCAACGCTTCAGCTATCATGATATCACGATTACAGAATTTCACAAACACGGAACACCTTCGCGTAGCCATCAAAACATTACAGAATATGATATTAAACAAGCCACCGCTAGTGCCGCGGCCGTAGATTTCGCTGTTTTTGTTAGTCGTGCGTGGTAGTCGATATCAGTGAACGATCGTCAATCTAATAAAACCTGTGTGAACTGAGCATAACTGCAATACGTACCGGCCGGGCCAAAGACGTCCATTTATGCTGTGAGCCTGTAACCAAACAGATCCATCGACTACGAAGCATTGTTATGGGGAACTTGTTTCGACTCTTTCAAAGGTGTCCTCTCGTACCGTTAAACATTGACAATAGCAGCAGCAGCAGAAGTAGCAGCGGCAGAAGTAGCAGGAGCAACAAGTGGCAGAGACGAATGCAATTCGACCTTCCAGAACTTACGAAGCGAAGTTGACGTCGTCGCCCCCAGTGAGGAGAAAGCGCAGAAAAATCGGCACCAGATCCAAGTTGTTAACATGGCATTGCGGTTCCTTCTTAGCTTAACTCGAGACAACAAACAGCTTTGATTTGACACCACAGCACGGCTGGATTGGACCTGCGTTAGCGAAACGAATGACCTGCAAAAAGGCCTTGGTTACATATGGACCGCTGCAGTTCACTGCCCTGAGAAGCGAAAGCTCTGCTGGAACTTCGACGGAAGAATAGCCATGCCAATGACCACCGTAGAGAGACGCAGTGATTAGTTTTGTTAAATTCATTTATTTCGTTATAGTGCTTTGTCCGATCCGATCCGATCCGGTACGCGCGACTGCTTATCTTCGATTAGCGGCCTGTAAGCGAAGCGCGTCTGGCTGTATAACATCTATTGCAAAAACTATACTTTTGCCATTGATACGGCCACCATAAAAGAGGCAATATCACGTTACTCATTAAGAAATTACATGAAGATCATTTATTTTGTAGGGAGCTTTTGTTTAACTACACGTATATTGGCGGGTACATCGGTGATAAGCAAAAAAAAATAAACAAAATCTAGCAAACGGTGAAAATTAATTAAAACCGCTGTTATGAATCTCCTAAAATTGTAACAATAAATAAGTACGCTACGAACGACTAAAGATAATGGTCATTGATCGATAACATAATATGTTTAGCTAGACCTTCGAATAGCGCTAGTACAAATAAATTATTAGCTAAAACCCGAATCTATTAGATTTTTAATGCCCAAGCACCGCCAAAACATGACAAATGGTCAGTACGCCGAAATTGTTTATCCAGCCTAAGTTAAGCATTTTTTTTGGCGCAAATAAAGATTTCTCTCCCTCTTATTCCAGTCACATTAAATTTCTGCTTTTTTTTTTGTTTTTTTTTTTTATCGCCAACAGCGTGCGCCAAAGAACCAAAGTTGCAACATTGAAACGGACATGCAAACGTTCATATGATCTATTTGAAAAGTATGTACTTATGTATAATAACATAATTTTCGTAACATAGTAACGAGTTGTATGTGTTTATTAATTATGCTAGTTAAGAAATATTGCGATAGAACGTGTTCAGCGTGAAATCTGCCAGAAATGTATCAAAATATTGTCTATAGACCTAATTTTATCGTCAAGAATAGTGACGACCAGCTTTACTGTAGATACATACATAATGAAAGTGAAATTACGATACTTAAAATATCTACATTTTTATATCTCTCCGGCTGAAGGTGCTTTAGAAGTAAGAAAAACACTGATACTGAAGACGAGACGTGCATTTTTTTTATTTCAGCACTATAAAGCGACAAATAAATATGTTTCTCACTTAATCATTTGTCTGTGTGTGTGTAAACGTGTTCTCTTTTAGAAGCAAAAAATATTTTCTATTTAACTTATAAAATACACTTAATTTAACGCAAACAAACTAGATGATCTAATATTTGCGTTCCCTTTTTTCTACGTTCGACTTATAACGAAGTACCCATCACTCTGAAGGCGTTGGGAAGACATTATGTTCAATATGATCATCCACCAATATTATCTGTATGCATTTGATAATTTAATAATCATTAAATTTATCATATACATTGTTTCGACAATTCCTGAATGATGCCTCTATCAGCTAATTTCCTTCCGCGAATGTCACTTTTTCTAACGTGTTAGTGAATCAGTGTGCCTGTGAGAAATATGGTTTAATAACAAGCCAACACAAGATAAGAATAAAGTGTATGTTATGAGCACGGAGTGGATCGATTGAAACTAACACGATTTTAAATTCCCGTGTTTTACACGTTATGCATGATCGATCATACATGCTTCGAAAAGGTGAAAGGGCTCGCTGTTCGAGAACTGATTAAGTTGAAGTCTATCAGTTCAGTAATCCAACAGTGGCAACTTCACAGACGGTTAGTTCGCATTAAGAAGTAATAACAATCAGTGATCTAGAAGGTCTATGACGATTGCAGTCGTGTCTTTACTCTAACAGTAAATCTGTCGCTCCGCATTCTCGATCCTGGAAGTCTCCAGCCCTTTGTACACTCCCGCCTGGCCGCTGGAAATACATTTAGGGCACATACAATTACGACAAATGTCACTAAAATAACCTTTGTTGACCTCAACAAGGGTGTGGACGGAGAAAACGTGAACGTCACTGGTAAATACGCCTCTACAATATGTTTAGGACAATCTTCTACCTAGCAATGCTATGGTGTCAACTCGCAAGTATGACTGACCATTTATAAAACTGGAACAAATTGGGATTGTCTGCAAAGCCTCATGATATAGTCACTATCGTATAGATCGCCCGTTACCAGTACAATACCGCGTTTCTATTATTGTTGCATACGTCGTTCAAGCCTACCTTGAAAGCTTTTAAATGGATTCAATGCAAAAAGACTGCCTAAGATATATGCTGCTGAGTGATTTCTCATTGTTTGCTCATCTCTGGCAGCTTCCTTCGATCGTCACAGATGAATGCGACCCAGTTCGTCCATCTGTTGCCCTTTCGTGCCATTAGATACCGTAGCAGAGGTCACTCCTATTTAGCCCGTCTAGAGGATATCTAAAAAGCTACCGACTTTTTTCAAGATAAAAGCAAACAGCGAAACATTCGATTTATTATTAAAATCTCACGTTTAAACCTTCACACGCTATATATATATATATATATATATATATATATATATATATATATGTATATATATATACATATATACGAAGTATGTGAGCTCATCCTTCTTTTTCCGGTTTGCAGGCGTTGTTGGCTTCTGAATTCCTTTATTGGCCTTTAAACACCATAGCCGTAATGGCTTTCTTTAACGATACGATCATGAAGTTTGTATATACAGTCATAAAACCAATAGTCCAGCGGTCCGGTTAAACCGCCGAGTTCCTCAGGCAGGATTTCTCGGGGAATATGTTGATGCAGCGAGGACATATTGCTCCCGTGAAGGTGGTACCTACAAACAATTAGAACAAAGTCATTAGATCTATAGATCCGTTTCGATAACATTACAGATGAAAACTCTCCTGCATTTAAAGGTTGTATACGAACTACTCTAGGAATTACGGAAGCGCTAATCTGAAACACATAATAAATACGGTTCTCAATAGTGTGAGAGTCCTCATTTTGCTTCCGCTCAGACGAATATGTACAATATATGCTTGCAAGCAACTTAGCTTATATATACTGAATCCTGAAAACCCAGGATAACTATAACGACGGAAGAAACATTTTTGAAAGATCTGTTCTACTAACAGATGCGCTCAAGCAAAAACATACACTTGAAATTATAATTCTATCTTTATGTTAGCAAGAAACCCGATAAAGTTAAAAACATGTAGAGCCTGAATTTCGACGTTGAAATAACAAACCGTAGCAAAGATTCCCGTTATGTAACAAAGTTCATTTATATATGTTCTAGCTAAAGTTCAAACAGCGACAACGGAACTGCCCGGTTTCTTAATTGTTTAATCATTTTCAAATTGTATGCATTTGGAGGTTGTCTAACAAAGTCACCCGACTATGAACAATGATATTCAAATTAAAGAATGAGAACGGAATCAGATGCGTGTCATATCTGAATTGTTGTCATCGTAGAGATCAGTTTAGAGACAAGGCGAACCTTTCTCGAAGTTTGGACGGCACAAAGGGCCTTCCGATGGCGTAGCCTATACTCCATAGGTAAGACTGGTTGATGATGTGCACCTTTTTGATACGGAGCGGGTAACTTTCTTGGGCGAATCCAAGCATTTGCTGAAATAGATAACACGTCGAGAAAAATAAGCCGTTTTAAAGTCAACACGTACTCCGCAGTGTGCATTAATGCTAAACCAATCGAAAACCTTCAACAGATATGTGCTTTCGCTGTAGTCCACTCAATCTGGTGTAAAAATTACTGTCTAAGTTACATGAGTACCATGTCCACTTCCAACATTTATTCTATATCAACTCTTTGGCTTGGTCGCGCCTGTCCTCCAATGACACTGTCCTACCTCCACCCCACACCTCTGATTTACCATACTTTTTTCGTTGAATCACAGCATCCGATACTATTCACATTACATCGCTACCCATCTACCACAATGCCGTACAACAGCGCCTTAGCGGCGGCCTTCAACGCCAGACCACTTCTTCACAGCGTATTTATCTTCAGTGTTACTAACACCACTAGCCACTTTTCAATACTACAAAGGGAGGCGATTGTTGCGTTGCAGCAGCCGCAGGTTACCGGGGGGTTGACGTGCAGGTATTGCTGCATCGTCTTGCATCCGCCAACCCTATGCAGATGCCGCCGGCTGCTTGTACCTCAGTGTAACAGCGTAGGGCCTGGCGAATAGCGGCAATTTCAATGCTGTTGTTCTCGCCCCCGCAAGAAGCTGCTTTTCCTCTGGCTATTTTTTCTCTGGTACCACGACCAGGCGAACTTTCTCAGACTGGTCAATATCCTGTAGACCTTCTTAGTGCTACTACAGTCACTATTTGAGCACCGTCCAAACGCTAACAACACCAGCAGCAGGATTATTATAGAACTACAATCTAAGCACGTACCTGTTGACCAGATGTTCGGTTCTTCGGTGAAATAATGTAGTTCTATGACACCCCGTTTGCACGTTGGCTTTCGATAGGCAGATGTTATAACAACGCTGGTGCCAATAGCAGCGAACAAGAAGACGGGATCAGCTGCGTAAGACGGAAGCTATTTAGTCAAGGGGGCGTGGGAAATGACGACGGTTATTTTGATGGGTATTCCTCTCTCGTGTTTCAGTGCGCCGGTTTAGTTATTACTATAATTGCTACAGCTGTTATCGTTTTTGTTCTTACGATACGTACGGCTAAACGCCAATAACGGCGTGGAAGTGTGTAATGAATCGAGTAGCAAATGGCATGTTGATCTTTGTAAGCGATGACATCGTATCATTTATTTCGGGAGGAAAATTTTCACCGAAGCTCCATGAGGACCACAGCACCGAGATCTAGTCTCCGTCGTCCTCACGATTCCGTCTGTAATATGGTGGGACTAGCACTCTAAAGTAAAGTAAGACGGACTTTTGTGACATAATAACTTCTCACCACTTACACTTACTAAAGGAATGCTGTGAACCTTTCACCTTTACCTTGCTCTTGATCTAATTAACACTTAGTGTAAATGATGACGCGCCTAAGCTGAGAGTAACTTAAATTTTTAGTCGACTCTATCTAAACAGAAACAGATGTTTTAACGAAGCTTTTTGCATGCGCTAGAAATGCCAGTCCTGGCAATCATATCTATTCAATGTTACCACCATTCATCGGATTTGGAGCTCCAATTTGAGATCTAAACCGCTTACTAGTCATTTTCAAAGTATTTATCTGCAACCCGCCAATGAGTTTTTAATAATAATCATCCGTCAAGCGACACTGGTTGTTGTAAACTTGCCTCACACAAAATTCCAGCGGAATAAAACTGTTAGCTAATAGTATTACAGAACTGCCAAAAATGGCAAAAGATGCCAAGCTCATCCAGCCCAAAAGAATTATATAATAACTAAACTCTGCCCGAAGAACGCCGTATAGATTACTATGATAAGATTGTAATTTTATCCTAGAAAGAACTAGCTTTCATTTGGTACCACGTGAACGGGACATACGAATGCTTTTTCTTTGATTTGATAAATTTTTTATTTGCAAAACTTGAACGTACCACTCTCTCTCTCTCTCTCTATATATATATATATATATACATATACATATATATATATATATATATCTATACTGGTACGTTCTTCTGTTCTATACAGAGTGGTATGTATATATATATATAAAGTTTTCTTATATCATATGACAGAACAAATTCTTGCGTTTACTTTCTAAAATAGAAAGCGATCGGGTGTTGGCACGTGCTCATGGGGTTTTGTTAAGGGAAAGGTAAAACCGTGACAGAAATGATTACAGTTGTCTCTCGTAACCTGAAATACTGTATCTTGCAAGGTAACCTTTGGAGAAAAATTATTTTCAGAGCTACAACAGATGCAGAAAAGTACCCCATTAGAACTTAGTCTCAACTACATCGGTCACCAACAACACATTAATACGAACCATTACCTTCGAACTCAAGGCAAGCTTAATGTAATTCAAAGTGTTTCGGAACCAACAATGCCATTTTGTCGGTCCATCTGGAACGTCAATAATGAAGCCAATAGAAGGAGTTGTAAATGTCCATATTACAGAGTATGTAAAAAGTTCGCTAGGAAATCAGTACAAGCAGCACCGCTATTGTCTGAGATAGTACTAAAGCAAAAACTTGTTCTGTGTTATTAAGAATTTTTTACCTACAAATATATTGTTCGCCTGCAAGATATTTTGCACATCTCACAGTAGATGCTTTCGTTGAATTTTTTATACTGGCTTATTGTGCAGTCAATAAAATTCTCTGTACACATAGGGTTTCCGCTAGTTGCGCTTTGTTTACCTGTACATTGCATGTACCTGTATCACTAGGAGCAAGGTATTCACACAGCAGACCATCACATTTAAAACCTACTATGACATCCAACTTTAAATCAGCGTTCTCGCTTACCTTAAATCAATTAAAATGAATGAATTAATTAGTCTCAATTTTTAAAGTAACTGGTACTAAAATGGCAATATTGTTCCTAAGCTATCCAATTTTCATCAGAATATCCCTTCCACTATAGATTTGGTATTGTCAACGGGAACGTGCGACACTGTAGTCATATCGTAGTTTCGATATTACGCGGCCATATGTATTGTGAGCCTTTCCGTGCCTCCCAGAGGCAACTTTCAGGTGGCTTCACTTCAGTGAAGCCAGGTGAACCGCCGCGCGCAAAATCGAACAATATTTTTGGCGGCATTTGTGGTAAAGAGGGTATTTACCAGTTCTGTAGACGAAGCTAACCTTTCGTAAAGAGTTATGATACTTCTTCAAAGACTGCTGTTGGTATTGGACCTAAATACCCACGGATTCATCGAACGCGTGTACTGCAACTATGTACGATCTTTCTTGCATAACAGATATAGTTTTATCACCAAACAAGTGGCAATAGTGACAAGATAAATTCAACGCAGTTGTAGGCGTGGAATCGAATGGTTAACCATTGGAAACGAGTTTTGCATCATTGTCTCTGCAACAAATAAAAACACAAAAATTATGATAATCATCATCATCATCATCACCATCGTAATCTCCAGCAAGGCCCTAGCGCCTTAAACCTGAGCTGCTTGGACTAGTGGACTTGCGCGGTCCACTGATTCTAGCGGCATCCTTTTATTCATTACGAAAAAATCACTGCTGTCTTTGCACAATTTTTGACCATTTCACTCTGATCCTTTTCCTATTCGAAGGGCGTGGAGGGGGGAAGAAATTACGTATCTAGGACTTGTTTCTGTGCATTATCTTTCAATATAGTCCATAGGCGCGCATATTATTAGATCGAGCTGTCTATCAAGTGTAATAGGTCTCATTGTCTCACATATCCTACTGTGCTTTGCAAATGGACGAACATTGGCCTTAAAAAGCGAACACGTAAACGCAGCATCCAACGGCTTGATGACCGACATTTTCACATAGATGCGATCGCAAAATTTTCGAAAATCAGCACAGAACGTAACTAAATTTGACATGCAAGGTGTAACGTAACACAACTTCCTTCTGCTAAAGCTAGGAACATGAGTGAAGTTAATGAATTGCACACAAGTTTGTGTCATCAAGAGTAATCTATCACATGAACATCTTTATACTTACAAAATTACTACAAAACGGCAGCGCACAAACACCATATGCAATAATGTTGTTTTCTGGGGGTACTCTTGTTGTTATTGTAAAAATAATCTAACATTTCTACACAAGATCTTTCAGGTCTTTTCGAAATTACGGCTGCCCTCAGGCTCCTGTTAGTAATCGTGCCGCTGTCTTTACTATACGTTGCATATAGTTGCAAAACCTTACTTCCGATAAAAAGGTCTTTGCCGCACACAGAATTTAAAATTGCTTTTTTGTCAAGTTACCAGCTACCTTGGCCCTTTTTCAAAGCGCTACACACAGTGTCTATTATGAATACTCCCAGGAGCGGTAGCAATACTGGTTACTAGTGAAAATAAACGATGCTTTACAGACAGTCGTTTTTGTACATTGATCAGTTTCTTTTTCATTACAAGCGGACATTAGCGTACTCGAAGGTTACCGGCGCCTTTTTCCGGTCAAACGATTTAAGAAGCAATTGAATCTACAATAGTAGTTTCATGTTATATAATATCTGATCTGATTATAGTATGTAATTATTGTATATAAGAAACTTCTACTAAAGATTTGCCTGTGGACCACTAAATTTATAGTTTCTTCATTGAGCTTTTTGTCTACAGATTAAATTTGCCTGCTACTGCTACTTTCAGTTTTCTATGATCTTATATGTGAGAAAATCAATCAAGGAGTAATCCTTTTTGATCGCCATCCAGTAAATGACGAAACAAAAGCAAAAAAATCTGCTCCTGGCTGCATTAAAAATATTATGCAATGTGTTGTGCCCTATCTCGATGTATTTACCCATAAAAAAATAGATATATATTGAATCTTCGTCACCTTACACATCATTTGCCGCGTACGGGAAGGTAAACGAACACATCTAACTACGAATATAAAAAAAAAAAAAAAAAAACTAAGAAACAACTTCGACAGCCCAGCTATCTTTATCGTAACAAAATTGAAGAAAGAACGTGCTACTTTCCATTTCTGCGTGTACAATTGGACATTGCGTATGTTTTTATTGTGACGGATCACTGGTCACTGGCGAAGAAGCAACGCGTATGGGTCGTGATTGCTGCGCGTAACCCAGGGAAGACACCCGACCCGATCCGGCGGGTCCCCGTTTCGTCTTTGTGGACAATAGATATGCACGCAAAATTACATAGATGTATGTCCGGGCGCAATGAAGCGTGATAGCGGCAGAGATCGTCACGTTACTTGTCCTCGCCTCGAATTTGCTTATTAGACTTACGCAAACACTTATTACTAAACATATAAGCTAAACAAAATATTTGAAAGTTGTTTATGCCGGCTAGATCGCCTTTGTAACGCTTGACCATACCCAAGTAGAGTACTGTGATATAGCAGGTACATATAGACGAGAAACAGGTAGGAAGAAATAAGGCGTTGAGTCTGTGTCCGATAAATGCAGTAGACAAGTGTACATAAAACGTGGGTCGTAAAGGGTGAAGTGGGGATGACTGATTTGCCTCGGCGCTACAGAGCAACAACAAAGTAAATGAAAAGGTAATGAAAAATGGCAAGTGGCTATATGCAAACGGCTTTTATGTACTTGCTAGGCGAAACCGCTTGTATTAGAAGAACTAGTGGTCATCTTATGTGGCTTCCGTCGTACACGATCAGTGTAGCATTATTATTGCAACGGCCCCATCGCGAACCTGTCATTCGAACAGAATTCTTGCATACGGCAGCGAATTGATGATGATGATGGTTGCTATTAAGCATTTAGAAGATAACAGGGTGGATAGGAATACATAAAACTGAACATTACCTTGTTGAAATTGTAGCAAGATAGTATGGTAAAGAATGTGTCTCTTGTTTTTACTCCATTGCCCATAAAATTAGTTCCCATCTGTACTTTCACGAGAATTTTACTGTAACTTACAGTTTGATATCTTCTGAAGTAAATAACTCTGAACAATATTATTATTATCATTATGATTTCTAAAACAGACGTTCGTTAACCCACTCAAACTTTACACGTTGATACTTGCTGAGTGTAGTTTCATTTGTTTATAGTGTATTAACTTTTCTCGAGGTGTTTATCAATACAATTCCGATGACCCACTAAATCGGTTGTGACATGCCAGCGTCAGTCACTATCACCAAAGACCCTTAGACCCGTCACCTTAGACTACAGGATAGTCTTCTACAATTAGTTATTATTGAATATACTATCATTATGAATTCTCCAACTCCATGTGCATGCATGTACCATTCTCGACGACCTGCTCTACTTACCGTTATGTAATCTGGTGTGACATACTTCAGAATCCAGTTATACTCGAGGCCTTGTAGATCCAAGATGAATGTGAAGCCATTTAGCTGTACTTCAGGCTGGTCCATGATCAGCTCTCCACCATATACGGCCGGCGTGTAGACATCGAGCGGGCCGAACCCTGTTGACGGCTTCCATTTACCGAAGCGGCATAACACGATTACTGTTCCGTCAAGTGGATTTCGATGTCGAAGCAATACAGCGCAATTTAGCTCGTAGAGATGTTTAAAATCGCGTGGGCCTAGGCCGATCGGGACGTACCTCTGCGGATTCTGCAGTCGGACCTTGTAGAAGTTCCGCATCAGTTTGTATGCTTTGTCGACATCGAACTTCCGCGCTCGTAAAAAGCGTAACAGAAAGCGGTCATCATCAGTTTTCGGCTCAAAGTCCTCGATCATTTCGAGCTTCTTTCGAAACTCTTTGAGGCTTTGAGCTCGTTTTGCCGGCGTCTCGCCCAGCAGGATTTCGGCACGTTTATTGAACTCTTTACCCTCGTCAGGGTTTGTCACATCGAACTCGCGCAGTTCGTTTTCAGTGAACGTTCTCGTTTCCGGCATAGCCGGTGACCTGGCCGCGATATCTACTTTGGTGTGAGCTACCACTGCTGAACGTTTGCCCATAGTGAATGCAAAAGTTGTTAATACACAAAAGCTTTGAATTTTGAGACGCCTATCTTTCCTTACAGTTCCCTCTCTAGACAAACACGAAAAATATTAGGGGGACCGTTGTTACGTCGACACAAACATGGAACATCTATTCTGTATATGGTTCCCAGGGAAACGTACTTGGTATAGTGGGCACTACGTGGAAGGTGTGCATAGATACACAATACTACAGAGCTGATAGACGGTCAACGGCACACACTAGTACGCACATAGCATATACAGTAATCCAGAAAAGCACAGAACGTTGCAGTCAACAAGTTCTCTTTGTGCTTGATATTGAGAGCACCATTACATACGTATGAACAATGGGAAACATCAAACTTTAACTTCTAGTCGGATACTGGCTAACGTTTAATGCATTACAGGAGTTGTAGATATGATATAACGACGATTCGACAGACAGCGAACGATACCAACAGGTGTCATATGGTCGACGTGAAACATGTTAATGAGCTGCATCAACTGGCACGCGATACAGCGCGCCTTGAACCTCCCTGCTGCTGCAGTCTGATTGAAGGCATATTTAAGCGTTTACCTCCTTACAAAAGAAAGGGTCTGTCCATCTGAAAGGCTGCCTACCGCGGCTAGTGGTTAGTCGACATTGCACGGCAATCAACTCGGACAACCGTCAATGAGGTCGATAGTACTCTTCTATGGGGTGCATTACTGTTTCGCCCTCGCAGACACGAAGCTTCAGGCGGCGAAAGGGGGGCGACTGACAATTGAAGCATGGACACATTTACGTTGGACGCGGACGGCTCACCTCGTCACAATTGTAAAATTACCTTTTTCCCGCAGTCCAGCATATTGACGACATAAAATTTTTTGCTTTTGATTTTTTTTTTGATTTGATGGCCGCTCAAGTCAAGGAGATGAGATGGTCTAGGTTCGAAATCGGAAAGAGACGAATTTTGTTCGGCGCTAAAAGCGGCCATGAGCTTTCCAAAGTAACAGTACCGGGCGTAAGATCGAGGCACTTATCATTGAAACTATTAGGAACTTCAATACATTCTTCGAACATTGACAGACCTGTGCGCAATTTCAACGTAAAAATATTTAATTATTTTGCACGTCCCAAGTAGAGATTGTTCAAGTGAAAGTACAATTTGTACCCAACTAACTACGATGTCGTAAAATAAAAAATTTCACTCAAGGTCAGTACTTGGAAAAACAAGTATAGCCCAATATGGATACTGTTACGCCCAGATTGAAACATGTGTGATATGAATTGATTATTTCAACTTTGTTCACAATTTCACAACAAACTGATCGACAGACAGAGCATTGCCTGCTATTGAAGCACTGAACATTTGTAACACTACTAGCCCTTATAATGATGTTCACTTTCTTATTATCCATGCTGATTACTTTGGGAGAATATAGATCTTTAGATCACAAAAAAGGAAATATATATTTTAGTTATGTCTGCATGACGACACGCAACGTTCTGATGTTCTTTCTTCTAGATCGCTTTACTTACGAAGTAAACTTTCTCAAGCTGCTAAAACATATAATCTAAAAAAAAATAACTATCAAAACATTGTTAATTTCATAGTCATTTGACTCAGTACGCCACCTAGTGAGCTAGTTCTGCATTTTTTTCTCATTTATACTGTCTTCGTTATCATGCGTGTCTGAATATGTATTCGACCATTTTTAGCTAATTTGCCACTTCTGACGTGGCGTAAAAACAGACAAATTAAAAAAAAAAAAAAATATATATATATATATATAGAGGTAGTTGTTCTGTTTAAAGGTTGTGCCAACGAAAAATTGTACATATCTATAAATTGTGACTATTTGAAAAACTTGACACTTAGGTGTAAAAAAGTGTGTTTAAAGGTTAACAAACTTCCACTAATAATATGTCACAGTAAAAATTGCAATGCTTTTTGTTTATTAAACAGTCATATTTATCTATTGGGTAGCAGTAATGTCAACTTCCTTTTTAAGTGCAGCGTAGCAGTATCCTTTCTTAGCTTGAAAAATCGTCTGCTTTTATTGTTAGTTGTCATCGGCAGGTGACCATTATAAATTCGAGAATATTATTGATTGACTTGATTAAGGAAATTTGCCTAGATATTTCGAGTAGGCATACTTGTCGTTCGATTTTTCTGCCTCACTTAGCTTGTTGTAGACCGCTTGTTATTATCATTTTGTAAATAACCCATGTGCCTGTTCTTGACAATTTGCATAAAACATATCGCTTTTAATGTGCGCCAGCTATATATCATGACCATGACACGATTTATTAAGTAAACAACGACCTTAGATATACACAACCGAACTAGGTATTTTTAATTCTAGATTACACTGTACATCTGAATATCTGTGTAGGAAAGGGGTGTCTGACGGCACAGCCAACGATTACAAGCTATTTACACTTACGTTGAACGCAATTATCATGTGCCTCCCATAGGTCTAAGACAAACCATAAGGAGGTTAGAGGAAATTACACTGGTGGCACTATAAACTCATTGCATAATATGGAAAGGTTCACAGGCGGATTGCTTCTTATGTATATTAGGACCTAATAACATTTTTTTTTTTTTATGGTAAACGCTCTTTATCAGAAACTCTGCATATCATAAAACGAGACACCGTAATTTCGTTCGTTCAAAAAAAATTTAAACATATATGTTTATATAAGCAAAGAAATGCAATTCAACTGTATCAGTCAAAGCTGTACTATACATAGCTATACTATAAACCATATAACAACTGAGTTGACAAGTAAACTGTCATACTCTCTGAAAAACTTCGTATCAAGGAACGATCTTCTGAGCACGTGACCTTAGTCTGATATGATGCACTGACATTTGGTATTAAGTATTATTCGTGTAGCTACCACAGCGACACTAAATTGACGATAGCACTATACGCATCCGCAGGTATCTATTCTAAATAATCTAAGGAAGACTATTTGATGTGTTATTTTTTGGATAAAGCCCCCGTCTATACGGTTATGCCCTGCGCTCACCAATTATTTAGACTTGCATGACATCTAAACCATATAAGTTCTTCACAGATCTTACGTCAACCCTCCTCGTACAATTGGAGGGGCCGCGACACACGCCTAATCTCGGAGCCGTCTTTAACTGGTTCGTCTAGGCCCGGGGTCAAATGCGTAACTTAGAGCTATGCTGTTTGTCAACTTGCACTTTTTTTACAAATTTCCCATTAAATTATGACGAATCGAAACGCTCAATTATGAGTCAGTTCGCAGAAGCTATAGGTATCATCTTTTCAGCAACAACAGTACATGTCTTGACCAGGTATTATTCACTGATAACAACAAATCATTAGACGAATTTATTACCTTCGGAAATAGTAGATATTGCACCAGAGAAACAAAAGAAATCGAATAGGTTTATCGTACTTCATACACAAACCGCAGTACTGGATGTTAAAATCGAACCATTCATACGTCGAGGTAGATGCGTGCCGTCATTTAGCAGACATTTATTTAAAGCCAAAATTTTACAATTAAGGGATTATTAGCTTCGCTAAACTTAGCTATTTTTATGGTTTTTAAAAGATATTATATATTATACGTATCAAATTCTTGTTAAGAAAGGAACCGTTCATTTAAAATAATATACTAGTATCGGAAAAACAAATCTTTACTTAAAAACACTATTTTAGTGTGAATCAATATGATTTTGAACCTCTATTTTACCCATCTCGCCTGATAGCATCGAGAGCTTCAGTATGAAACGCAATTTTTTGTCCAGGACTGAAACATTCCAGCTGAGTGAAGCATCACCGTCACTTCGTTTTCGTATCATACAATATTTCTTCGTTTAAGATACATAGATGCACCTCGAGGTGCAAAAGATTACTCTCAGACCTGTGGCACTCTTGGTTCCCCATATAATCTCAATTTATAACTGTTTCTTGCCAAACCCAACTTGTAATAGATTTGGATTATTTCATCTATATTTGTTGACCTATTTTCCTATTTTTATAGGTTATTCGAAAGTTACTTCAAGCGTCATCGAGATGTAATGTCTTTTTCTGGTGACGGGTGTGTCGTCAGCTTCCTCTTGTTTTTGAACTGTTGGAAACCCAAATTTCATATCGTCTTCTGCAAGACCGCAGAAGTCGATGTAACAACTGCTTGTCAATTGTACATAGCAACTGTTGTGCTACGATAGAGGCACATGTATGCGTCGGCGACAATCTTCTTTACGAGTGGCGGAAGACTGCGATCATCAGGATGAGCTTCGAGTCTTTCTGGCGATAGCCATTCGTAAATTTCATCAAAGCTGACCACCTCAGGGATGTTATTTTGACCTGTAAAAGAAATATATCAGATGTATAGGTAAGAAGAAAACACATGAAAAACCGAGAATCTAACCTTCGAATCGAGCAACTAAAATTCCTGTTGCCATAAACCGTGCCAATACATGCCAATAAATGGCTTGCTTTATTAGTTTGCTTGTTTTTCTAAGCAGTGCAGCACTTTCACAGTAAGTTTAAGGCTTTTCTTGAATACTATAAGGAGCTTGTCAATTTCTTTATGCTAATATCTAGTCGATTTGATAATTTGACTAATAAACATTTTTCAGAAACAAAATACAGCTGCGGTCCTTAAGTATTAACAAATTAAGTTCTTCCTGTTTAGGTAACTTCAGATATACACAATAAAAACGTAACGGCAAACTATATAAATTAAGCTCGACTTCAATGGAATTAAACAGGTTCTACTGTACGTATCTGAAGTACTGAGCCAAACCTCTGCCGCTTCGGAATTGCTACATCTTATCCACTCTAAGGCACTGTAGCGAGTATGTATTATGAGTAGATTTCTGAATAAACTACTAAGTTTAATTTCAAATTACTGAGAACTTGCAAGAGATCAACTTTTTATTTAGCGTGTGCGGGTAGTACGAATCGAATCAGAGATGACATGAGATAGATTAATGATACGGCTTCCACAGATCTACAATCAGGGCATAGCCGACTATACGTAACTAAGGTAAATAAATGCCCCTTCGACAAGCACAACCACCCTGTAAATCTGAAGTAGACAACTGCTAAAGGCAACTCAAGGAGACATTTTCTCTAAAGATGCCCTCGCAAGGAAATAAAACCTAGCAAAATGCCACTGTACAGCTTGGTACAACGGCAGGTTGCTACTATAGCAATTGCAAAATATCAATAATAAAGCACGGAGTAATTTGTCGTGGCAGTTTGCGTTTTTCGCAACCTGCCATAGTACGTTAGTTATAAACAAAATTACAATGCAATTTAAAACGCTTACTTGATTAACTACTAAGGAAAGCTCTTCAATAAGCGGATAAAGCGAAATTTTCTTCTTAATCAGGCTCTTGTTGTTCAAATAGATTTAGGAGTTATTTGTAATACCAAGTTTGCACAAGCTGGTTTTTCTGAACAGTCAGACATTTTTCGCAATTATTCCTTTTCCACAAGTTGTAATAAGCTTTTTTTCTCCAAAGTAAGTTGATAGCACCTCATAAATACATCAATACGATGAAGAGTGAAGACTGTAGCGAACAGCAATTACAATACAGCATATTTTAGGTAAATAAAGCTTATCACAGTTGCAATCTCCGACGCGTCTTGTTAGATTGTAACTTAAGTCTTCTTCTCTTTCAATTATTTAACATCAATATTCAGATTCTCAATTATAAGGAAATGCGTGAAAGGGGCGTATTCTTAGGATATAGGTTATCCACCTCATATTGTAGGTGGTTTGTTATTTCAACGTAGTCCTTTTTTGTAATGCTGTGAACTGATTTTTCCATAAAGCTAATTATTGCTGACAGGTTGTTATGGTGTGCATTTATTATATATGAACGGCAAAAAAGCTTACATTTCAATGAAGCATTCAAAAAGCCGCTCTGAAATGCGGCGCAAGTTCTCCGACAAGCTTGAAAATTAAATAACGTTTAAGCTAGTTGGATTAGAATGGTTGCTTTTCACATGTGTTTACGTTTATTTTTTACACATTTGTCCCAGCACCCTGGCAGCTTCTGGACAGCCATCCATGTTCTTCTATGCAATCGATGGCTGCTTCGAACAAATCGATAGTGGGATACGCTTGCCCAGCAATTGCCCTCTTTAGCGCATGAAAAGCCCCCAGTCACGTGAACTTAGATTGGAAAAATAAGCCAATTGAAGTCAACGTTGGATATCTGCTTGTTCAATCCAGTATAACTGAGGTATGGCGATTGGGTGTGTAATCAAATTTTGTATTTTCGATTGTCGCACCAATAGCCCTTGAAGGAAGTCGGGATAGCAAGCTGAATTCAGTATCCTATTTCTACCGAGTATTTCATAATATTAGAAGCCTTTGACACTTATTAAAGGTGCTACAGTCATCTTATATCCAAATCTAATCGACATCGCCACCGAGCTCGATTTCTCTTTCAAGCTATGCCATTCTCTCGCTTGGTCTCCCTCCGGCCGGCCGCAAAGCTTGAGCTACGATTCGTTCGTAGCAACTGCATGCTTCAAACGGAGTTTTCATTAAAAAAGTCGCAGATTGCGCGCGTAATATACTTCGCGCCTTACCAACTAATGGGAAACCCGTTTTTACTCAGTTTTAATATTTTTAGTATTCTTGTTATGCATCTGTAATACGTTACACGTGAAATATCAATTTTAATCGACTATAAATTTCAAGCTCTGCTTTTGTGAAAAACCTCCTCGATGGTGGCAATGCGTTTGTACTTTTTGGGTTTCGACATCTGCTTGTCGAACATACTGTGCTTTCGTTTCAGGCCTCCTTGCCTAATGCGTTTATCATCGTTTAATAAATTTCCGTAACGCTGTGACCTTCAAATAACGAAAGCTTGATTACGAAGCATTGATTTTCGAGACAAAAAGATGTTTTTCCTTCTGTACTTATAGCTCTTGAAGAACTCAACCGGTTTTCATATGTTTCTAGAAGATCTGAGTATACACTAAGTAAACTTTAAGAATCAAAACTACGCGTTTCTTTTCAAAGCGTTTGCTTCAAAATTCAAGCGGTTTCTATGTACAAGTTTCTAGAAAACCGGACTATTTACTGACTGAATTTCGTCTGCTGGCGGCGCGTAGTTTAAAAAATATTAACTTTGGGAATCATTTAGATCCGCTTGTAAAATTCCGATATATATACTATTGGGTCAAAAAAGTACCCGCAATTTGGCAACTATACATTTCACAGTCGTCCAAATTTCAGTTGTACGCTTCAAAATCAGTCATAAAAATAGACCTCGACGCTACTTTGGTTTTTCTTGGATGTTTTCGATCCCAAAAAATTATGCGACAAAAATCGTGTGAGGTGTCTAACTTTACTACGAGCTTCTTGAACGTAATTCGGCTATTTCCCAGCATGAGTACTTTCGCTTTTCCCATGATTGCTCTGCACTTGCTGAGACAAGTTGTTCGCACTAGAGTGTGTTTTTCTCGTCCCTCGCAGAATCGATAGTACCATACGTAGACTAGACGTTAAGTCATAGCCCGGTTCGTAAAGCGTTCCACATAATTTTTATTTCCCAGAAAAACAAAACACGACCGGAGGCCATACACTTCAAAATTCTTGTAAAACACGAAAAAAGAACGTTGGAATGACCCAAAATTGTGTCGGTGAATCATTAACCTGCATGTCAGCGATCGAGGCGCCTACCAAACGTGACTCTAAACAATGTTGGTAAGTCAGTGTAACGCCATAGGCTTGGCTGATGTCTTTCAACCAATAAAAGCCGAGAGTTTCCTTTAATGTTTTCTTGACCCGATAATTTATTCGTAAGTTGTATTGTATCCTCTTAAAATCATCATATCAAGAATCCTTTTAAATAATCCATTGCTAAAAAGTATATAAAGCTCACAATGAAAACTAACTCCCTTAACTGGTCAGGAACAGACGAAGCCGCTCGAACACGTACCTTGCCGATCTGCCATTGAATCGAAGAATACCCATGGGCTTGTTGCCTGGTGGCCACACTTTACAAATGCAACGTAATGGCTCGTCTCAATACACAGCAAAGCAAATAGCTCCATAAAATGACGCGGAAGATGTTTCGTCGAAGAGAAGTCTTGGAATCCTGCGGAAACAGTCAGACGCCGCTTAGCACTGCCCCGATGCGTTGGCATCCTTAAGTGAGTCCTGAAAGCATTGACACAAGTCAACAAGCCAGTGGGCAAATAGGTTCACTATAATAAGCACAAAAGCATCTAAAATCTACGCTAGATAGCGCATCATGTACACTTCACGCATATGACACATACAGCGATACTACATAATTAACGTAAACAATGAAAATGACCATGAAGTCATATAAAAATTAAGAAGAACTTTTAGAAGTAGTTTGGATATCGTCATGTTACATACATTTGTTACAAAAATATAAAGTTAATTCGACCAATGTGCAATATAAATAAAATGACGCTGATAAAAACCAAAATTTGATCCGGGATCTGTTCAATTCAGCGTTTCGTGATTTCAGACACCGTACGCGTGATTAACCTGAGAATGCTGAAAACAAACCGATTGTAACAGGCGTCACAGAAAGTGCTCCGTTCAATAGCTTTTACGTGCGTGTAGCAATCAGGGCATTCGACTTGTGCGAGGCCCGCGCAAACGTGACATGGCCGTGGCGAATTTGCCAACAGGTCTGTCATGTCTAGCTGAAGGCTCGGTATAACTCGGGGATACACCTGTATATATAGAAACCAAAATTTTTTTGTTACTTAATGCCTACATGAAGTCTACATCCACAATAACGTTGCTGAATATAAGCTATGTAGAAGCTGACTCAAAGAAAATGGTCTCCTGAAAAATATCTCTAATTTTTTTCAATTGGTTATCAATAAATTATTATTGCTACGTTCAAGTGGAATATCAGTGATCATTAGTGTCGAGCTAACCACGAAACTGTTTTTATCCGACGAAAAAGAACCTATAACTTATAGTATTTACTCTAAGCAATAAACACCAACAAAAACTGGCCCATACGATCTACGAAACGGCTGATATCGCGATGATAAGGGCATCTGAAGTATTAGAGTAATTTTTAGTTACCTTGAACTGTCGTCCAAAACGCGGCATCTGAACAATGAAAACAGATGGAAGTTGCCGTAATTTTAGGTCTTGATGGAAAAAGCTCTGCTCCAGTATCTGCTGAAACCATGGAATGCCTAGACCGTCATCCTTTTCAACAAACAATTGGTATAGATGCGCGGATTGGCCCGAACTCAGCTGTAAGAATGGTTCCACCTTGAAATAACATGAAAAACCAGCCGTTAACATTTGCTGAGAAGGGAGTGAATTGACGTCGTTCAGGCACGACGATAGCAGATTTTCGTAGGCTACAAAGTGTTTGTAGGCTAATGAGTTTCATAAAATGGTCATTTTAAGCATACTTTTTCTACTGCATCTTCATCACTTTGGTTCTGTACCTGCAGCATTTGGGTCAAACAATTTAAGAACTCTTCGGGGTCCTTTTCCTCACAAGTGAGACCTGATACAGAGCCTAACTTGTCAAGTAGTTCACGCAACTTCATCACCTGTGCGGCACCAACGAAGCGATGAGCCCGAAGGCAATTTACAATGTCCTCTTTCAAGACCTGTCAACATAATAACAAAACGTTAGGGCACTAGTTACATAACAATGGGCTATTACACATACCTGAGTCTTTTTGTATCGTACGTTATACTTACTAGCAAGCTAACTAAGCCTTAACCCTCCAAATGTTACAGCATTTCTAGCCTTTCTTTGCTTTGAGTTTTCCTGAGTCCTTTGTCTTTGAATGACATAGACTATTTGGCCAGCAGATGTATCGAACATGACAACAAATAAACCGCTATTTACTTTTTGAACTTGGTCGTATTCTGGAATGTCACCGTCCTCACGTGGTCGATTGATAATAAAATCGAATACAGACGTTGCCGTAAACATAGCAAACAAAGTGGCATCGAGATAACATGAATTGTGGTGGCCCTGTGAAGGAAAAAGACCCAAATACAAAGCGAATTTGTTATAGTACTAAACAAAGTGTTGAAAAAACAGTTTTATCCTAGCTTAATCGACTGCTGTTCACAAGGGTGTAAAATCATCCAAGTTGTCAACGTTGCAAGGTGTTATATATATATATATATATATATATATATATATATATATATATAATCTGACCTAGCGATTAAGAAGTCAAGCGTAACTCAATGAAGCGTTCGTGTTAAGACACGCGCACGTAGTTATAAGCCTTGCTTTTGCAAAAATTTCACGCTCCGCCTCGTCCATGTGACCCATAATTATTCGCTTCGTCGCTTACCTGGATACCCTTACAGCGGCCGACAAGATGGGAAAGGTCTTTGGTACCAATGATAAACAGAGGCGGAAAGTCTCCAGGAAGCGGATCGTACACCATGTTCTGGAAACGGATAAATCAAGCAATTCAGTTATTTATTTGCAACAATTTCATGAACAACTAACAACCAAATTAACAGCTTCTGTTTACGTGAAAGTAATAATAGTGCTTTAAAAACTCACATCTCAAGCTCGGTAACGTATTATAGCAAAGCATATTATTCTGACAGGCGTTGGTGATTCACTACATGTTGTTCAGTGAACAATCCAACGTTATCTATTAGCGACTCACGCACCAACAGTTGATTATCGTGAGCGTCATGGTGTGGAGTTTCATCCAGAAGCGCCATCTGTTGGATGCGCTCATCGGGCACACACTGCTCTGGACGGGCAAACAATCCTTTGCCCTGCTCACATTCAAAGTACCATGCGTCGTGTAAATATCCTGATTGAAAGCCGTAATCGTCCATTTCCAACCCAAGCATCGGCTCGTCATTTATATAACCGGTCCATCTGACGACACCGTACGCCATACTACCAACACCTTCCGATCCAGGCCGACCGGACCCCACCGTTTCGGGCGGCAACATCACCCCCACCAAAGACCCTATCTCAAAGACAAAGTCATCTGAAAAATAATGCGATATGCACACAATTCTGAATCACGCTAAGTGATTGGGTCCATCTACATGGACGCTAGGTAAATTCGCCACAAGAAATCGAAAAATCTTCAATTTTTAAACCGAGTTCAAGCGATTTTAGCTCAAATATAAATCGCAGGTACCAAACAATAAAAAAAGAGCCCTAATTAATAAATCGAATTGCTCTTACCATAAGGAATTTGAAGGTTGCCACTGGTGTCAGCTCGCTCAATGGGCGATCGGTGATCTCCTGCAACAAACATTGCAACGTATTAGTAGAAAATAGTTCGTCTGAAACAACACAAGATGCAGCAATATAAAGTAGGACAAAACAAGAAAACGGCTTAATTATTCAAGTGTATTAGAAATCAATGCACACCTTTGCACCTGATCCGTTTTTAAGCCCACTTCAATCTATACATACCATCTTGTCTGACCATTCGTGATTCCATAGGTATGGTGGTATCGATGGTGTTCTCATCTGGATATTCCATTTCCGTCAGTGATGCAACGAGTAGCCGCTCTTCACAAAGCTGAGCGCCAGGGGGTTTCGATGTTTGGAGTCTATTATTTCTTGTTTGAAGAGGAGAGTTGATGTAAAATTGATTTAGGATAGGTGATTGAGCTTGTACACCAATGTTATTATAACCAGCAAAACTATAAGGAGATACCATAGCACTATTTCCGGCGGACTGCGATGAGGCCGCTGCTGGTAGCTGATTATAATGATTTTCAGCCTCAAAAACTCTTGAGGCTCCTCGTTTCATATGAATAAGAGGTGGTGGATATTGTTCAAACAGTGGCTCCGTGTATTTTTGCTGTTGCTCAAGTTGTATTTGTAGAAGTCGCATTTTTTCCTCCAGCTCCTCCTGATTCTTCTGTAGCTTTTTTAGCTGCTCGCTCTGCTGATTGATAATTTGCTGTTGTTTATTCGAAGTTCCTTTAAGCGATGCTTGTTCTGGTGCCGAACCACTGAACAATTTTGTTTGTTCGTCTCGGGAGGTTCTTTGTTTTGCTGGTACTAGAGGCGGTTCAGAGACCATTGTCCCAAGGGCTTTCCGAGGCGGTGAAATACGATACAAATTTTGGGATGGGGGTAATACCAGGGGTAAACCGTCATCGCAACCCCAGTTACCCTTTCGGTCTCTGCAGTCTGATTCGTTCATTGGTGGACTTTTAGCTCTGCTTCGACGGCGTTCCTGCGTTTTACTTAGCGCGCCACTGAAAAACGTCTGCGAAACACTAGACGATGGCTGGCCGCCATCGTCCGTGATTTTAACAAAATCGTCTTCTTCTCCGCTGTCTGCCTCAAGCATAAGATCGAAATGTTTGTCAAACTCTTCAAAGATCGCACTTTCAGTATTGTTAGCCTTCCCGTAGTCGCCAATGCGGCCGTACGTGCTTAACTCTTCAATACTTTCAGCATCAAACATGCCAACTTTTTTCGTCTCCGAAGAACTGCTCAGTATGTTCTCAAGTTTTTCCATCGTTGATTCCCGTTTGATTGACGAGTACCTTGTAGGTTTCTCTGAAAGTGATGTATTGCTTCTCGATGGGGATAGTTCACCTGAATCGTCGTTTCCGAAACCGCCCCCTGTTGGTAATCGTCTTAATGAGCCACTTTTGTTAAGTCGTTTTTTTAAACTCGATAGGAGACTTTGGATCTGCTCCTGAAGATCACGAGTGCTATCCCTCATATCGTCTCGTGTAACAGAGTGTTGTCGACTAGCATGGGCGGATCGAGTGCCTCGTTTTGATCGAGCTGGCCTTCGCGGCACATCGTCTTGAGATTTAGCAGAAGACGAATTTCTGCCAGCTGGTGGCAAGGTGTTTAACAACGGTCTGAACTTAGACAGCGGCAACAGAGAAGAGATTTCCGTTGCAGGTGACAAAGGTCTCGGTGCTGATGATTTTGGGCTTCTGGGCGGAGTGACGCACACTAGCGTTGGAGTTGGATAAATAGGAATCGGAGAAGGTCGCAAGGGCAACGCTGTGTACTGAGAATTACCTCGAGAATTCGAGGGCAAATCGGTGCTGAACTGAAGTTCCATGTTATCGGTAGCCTTCCGCGGGAAAGTTGGCGTTGAATCAAAGGAAGCAGTCCGTGAAAAACGGGCCACCGGCGCATAAGCTGTGCTAAAAGAACTGTGGAGCTCAGTAAACGGAGATTCTAACGGTTGTGGTTTAACGGGGACACTTCGCGACGTGGCTTCAATGAAACCATTGCTAATTTCAGAACTTGTCAATGTAGCAGCGTCTTTCTGTGGAAGCGGTGCACTTACTTCTAGCGGCTCAACAAACTTAAAACTAAAATCTTTTACCTTGGTAGAACAAAGAGGAACAACGGGTTTGGTGTCATCGGATAGAGCAGTACCATCATTCTTAATGATCCTAAATTTAGTTCCATCAGCTCTGCAAATGTTTTCATTAAACCCGGATGATACTTGTTTTCGCTGAGAATCGTTATTAACTAAAGTGTGGATATTCGAATGTAATTCGTGATTGGTTATTTTCGCTGGTTTTGTTTCATCGAGAACCGACTTTATCAGTTCCATCTCCCGCGGTTGGGGTAAAGGAATTTCGACGGGACATTCTAACGCCATTCGTAACTCGCTTCTCGACTCTGATTCTTGCTTCTTTTCACGTTCCTTTTCCGCCATCCGCTCCATAGATATCTTCCATTGTCGAGCACGATTTGGAGGCGGCCGCCTCTTTGATAGATAAGAAGAATCGTATGAATCATTCAAATAATGCACCGGGCTGTAACTCGCCGTTTTCTTCAATGGCTTAGCAGCAAAAACATTATCACCCATATAACTTGTACTTCTTTGCAACACAAGAGGCTTACCAGGCTCATTTCGGTAAAAAATACTCAAGTCATGGCTATGCCGTTTATTTGGGTTCAACAGGAGCAATTCTTGCTGACGGAGTTGTTCGGAAGGCGAATGTCTAGGCGTAGATTCTGCGGAATTTGCACGCTCCTCCTGTCTAGTGGGGGTCAACTCCCGGTCCGTTTCAAACGCGCTCTGGTATTCATCCGCCGTAAGATCGTCGTATGCGTCCATATAAAATGAGGCCAGTGACGCTGTGTCTGTTTCACGAGCTGAGTAAAAGCTCTCGGCTCCTGGACTGTTCTTGCGAGTTTGGCAATATAGATCCATAGCGTATTTCGAAAATTTTCTCAGTGTTTCTAGCAAGAAACGGTTATAGCAATAAATAACCACTCACTTTACGAACTATACAAATAACTCATTAACAATATATATCACTCCGAAGTGCGCCAAACGAGCACTCGATATACTCGTAAAATGACAACATAGCATAGGATTCATCACATATTATAATCATCATATGCAATATGTAGCAGCGGGTGCGCCCGTAAAATGGTCCACTACCCAGATCACCTGGCCACGGAGATAACCAGTTGGTCAGGCCGGGGCTAAGCATGAGTTTCCTGCCAAGGAAAGATCTAGGCCACAGCACATAAAAGAACCGGTAGCTGCAACAAGAACCTCGCGATGCGAAATTAGCCTTTTTCGATCGAAGGACCAACTACGACTAGTGCATGCGACGCACTCATGATCTTTCGGCTCAGCGCCGATGATGCTCTCAGAGCAGATGCTAATCGCAGGCCAAGACGCTGCCGCCGCTCAGTGTTATTGTCGGCTCCCTGCCGACTCTGTTGGGGACCCTGTGAGGAAACAGGCGGTGCGTTATGGCCTTCTGAGAGAGGAGAACTGTTCTATTATCGCAGCGACTAAGCACTAACCGTAATTTTTTTGTGTGTGGCCATCGAAAACTGCGATTGAGCAGTCTAGCGAAGAAAAATAGCGTCATTAATTAGACTGGATACAGTCGATACAACTCGCTAACACTGAGGGGGTTAGTAACAGCCAGCAATTGTTATCTAACAATGCGTAGAGTAAAAGACGCAAATATTAAGCTAAAGTTACTTGAAACTTTGTGTGCCGGCAGTCAGTACCGGCGAATACTAACCATATTTACAGAAAACGCAACTTGCTTCTGAAATATTGATTGAACAACACCTTGAAGATTCCATAAGAGACGGACTAACTACGAAAATAATAAGTGCAGTTTATTCTTTGGGGATATTTCACATGGTGGGTATTAATTGATAGAATTTGTCTGACAGAACGGCCAATAATACTCTGTTTAGCCTCGATCTGTTTAGAAGAGCCACTTAACAAAGTGGTCTGTCCCCGTGCTGAGAATGTTGCACAACTGCATGCACCTCCAGAGCGTAAATTAATGTGGTCTAATTAAGCATTCAGTCAATGGTAATGGGTTCCGCAAATGTTTCTGGCACCTTACGTATTAGAAAAGAATGCACAAATTCGAATGTTTATACAGCACGTGTTGTCTTTGTCAAAATTATCATCAGCGTCGCTTTCCACTGACAAGGTCAAATAAACAAATTTCACCGCCTGGTACCGTATAGAATATCCCGCGCTATTTTGTCAGATCTCATTCTCCTTTCGAATAAAAATTGCACCTACTACAAATTATTTCAACAAACAGTTATTATTTGGCATTTACGCAGTTAATGTTCTACTAATTCGATACCCGACAAACTGCGAGCGGCCCACCCATAAGGATTGTTTCAGCTTGACCGGGTTAGAAGTAAACCCCTTGCTACTTGTTTAATTAGTGACATATTAATGCTCAGCAAATAACGATACTAGCAGTATTTTCAAATAGAAATAAAACATCTGTCTCAAAATCTCCAGTTTAAACTTGTTGTTAATACAAAATGCAGCCGATTTTTGTCTCTGTGAAAAAGCGAAGCCGTTGGTAAGCTGAGCTTTGTGACGACATTAACAAAGCTTTCACAAAACTGATATATAAAATTCGTGCTATACATCGTTGGATATTAAAAGCAGTCTTAATTCAGAATTCCTCAAATCATTTTACCTATATATGCCTTTATAAGGATAATTCTACTATACTATATTCCTCATTAGAGACGTTTTTGAACAATTGTAGGGTTCTATTCTACCTGTACACACCGTTTGAGTGCATGACCGTCTTGCTCATACTGCTATTATGACTGCTTCCAGAAAAGGTCGTGTTCGATGTTGTAGTTGTTCCGGATACGTTTGATGAAGCTGCTATCACCTCAGCAGTTCCCCGGCCACCGATCAGTTTTTCCACTAAGGCCACTTGCTGAACAGCCGAACTAGGCGAAATAGTCACGCCGGTCATTACACCTGTAGACTTTATACTCCCACTGCCGCCTGAGGACCGCTTACCGTCCTGTAATAGCGGTAATGACAGTCATGTATGTACATAGGAAAAGTATCACTTTTTATGATAAAAGGACAACGATGATCAAAAATGTAATAGTAGTAGCAGGGACGCGTGAACTTATTCTCAGTGTGTAGGACTGGCAAGTTTCACAAGAAAATGCTGCCTCGATTTGCTTTTAAAAGATAGGTAAAATCATAGTATAAGGATATTTCTTACGTTTTGTCATATTTCTATCACTAAAATTGGGCAAACCAGTCGGCGTGCCAGAATATTATCGGTACTAGAAAATACATCAGATTCTTTAGCATTCTCAATATATAGACTTGTTTCGGTTTTGCGAAATAAATACCATGCATGGATTTCGTCCACCTCAAAACACACAAACACCTGACGTTGAAATAAACTTTTGTAGAATTCCTATCGGCTCAATACATTAAGCAAAATCATTTGTTATTGTTACATTAATAAAAATTAAAAATAATATGCTAATTGCCTATAGAAGCTGCAATCCGTCAGTGGGCAAGCCAAGTTTTTTAGCTAAAAATTATCATTGACTCAGGTGGTGCTGTGAAAATAAAAATAGGTGAAAAATACGCCGGATATTATAAATATAAGAACGACTCAATTCGTTGAAACCCATAACAAAGGTTATTGAATATTGGAAGCGGTTACAATTGAAAATATATAGATGTGAAAGCAATATATGTTTCCGAAAGCACTGTCTAGAAGAGACGTATTATTTTACAAAGGAAAGATGAAACACGACACATTCTAGAATCGCCATGTACCAACAATCTATATACATTATTCGCCTTTTCGAGGCAATGCTACGTCACACGATCAAGATGTAATGTTTACAAAATGATAACTACTTTCACGTCTATACCGAATTTAACGATCACCACCTGTCCAACTTTGCGCTGTTCGATTTAATCGATGAAAAAAATGTCGCCATTGGCTCGGTTCGTTTTGAATAGAATGCAAGAGCAACTGGCTATGATCGAGTGACATCGTCCTAAAGGTTGTTTGTAATTAACTCACCATGGCTACAAAGGGACTTGAGGTCTCAAATCACCGCGGACCTCTCCTTGCTAAAGCCATGACACGGTCTTCGACACGGGCGAGGATTAAAATGCACGAGACGAAAAAATACTCAAGATGAAATGTATGAGCCTAACATAAATCAACCTGGTTCTTCCCTCTGCCAAGTAATCTTAATTTACCGTCAATTTACTGTTAATCGAGTTTTCATCACTTTTTTCATAAGCTCACTAATGCACAAACATCGACAATACATATATGTCGATCGATGGCCAATTCAGCATATAGTCACAGATTTTCCTCACAGCTGGAGAATTTACCGTCTATGTCTTTCTCGTCGATTTTCACCCGATCAAACTTTTATGGTAAGAAAGCAACCGCCCACGCTGCAGTAGAAAGTGGATTTGGAAATCTTGTTGTTCAAACTAAGGCAAAAAGAACAATCTTGAGTGCTAATAAAAACAGTCGTTGTAATCTACGTCTTCAACTGGGCTGCCTTTATATATTAGAACGTTTTGCAGTATATAACCAAGACTTAAATGCAATGTTCTTATGAATTTTTGGCTCCTTGCCAATATAGTTATTCGTTCGGCGTGTTAATAGAAACGCAAAAAATCAGTCGGTTATTTTCAATCAGCGTTTACTACCGTGACCATGACACTACTAAATGTCAAATGGCTTCACTATGCCATCTTCCTCTGTTCACACGAAATTGATTTGGGTGAAAACGCAACATCTTCATTTGACAGGAGTCAGCTGGTCGCGATTTCGAAACCACCCAGCGCTTCTCTCGTTCTAACTCTCTTTTAGATGTTGTTATTATTGTAGTTAGGCTTTTGAGCAAGAGACCAGATATCATATAGATAAACCGAGTTGTCTTGGCGGCGTGCCATGCGGAGAAGGGCTCATTTGAGAAAGGGTAGCCACCCACGGACGAAGCCCGCCAAATTCAAATGATTCGGATCGGCTCTCTCTTTGGAGAATCAGTTCGCAAAAATCTAACGATGAAAAAAAGAGCGTTCAATATCGGCTTAGTTAATCTACCGTCCCCTCGCGAGCATAATCAATAGCTTGCAAGGGAACGGCTTTATGACGTGGTTTATTGTAAACTGCAATTTGTAGCGCAGTGCGTAGCCATTAGCAGCGTTCATGTCAAATGGAAAGCATGGGAAACTTGCTATAAGTCGAAAAAATACAGAACAGGTATTAGATATCACAAAACCTAACGTCTATAGCCTTTTTTTGTTGTCAACATTTTCGGATGCAAGCGTCTGCTAAGGAACTGATGTCAGCGACCTCCGACGCACTTTCGCGCCATGCTTTGGATCGACGTGGCAAAGTTGAACGCTAATGAGACAAAAGTCGCTAAGCCAGAGCAGATAAACATGTTACCACATGCACATAACAACAAACACTAACAAGCAGAATCATGATCGACTGATTAATTTTGATTGATAAGCAAGTGATACCGGGCAGTAACCACCTGTCAACGACGATAAAATTTTTACAGTTCAGGGGTATTAGAGAATAATCCTTTTCTTATGACAATGCGATAGGAAATCTACGTAAAGCGCAAAATTGCACATGTTACGGTCAAAAAAGTTTTTCGTAATTGTTTTTTGTGAAATTAATTTTTTTGAAAAAGGTGAGTATGTGCGTATTTTTTGGCCGTCTTTTCTATGTATCGTAAATATGGCCCAACAAAAACTGAGAACACTTACGGTATATCGCGTTTGCAATTTCTCACGTTTTATTCTATAAGAATGAAAACTGAGCGGGATTTTTTGAGAATAAGAAGCATACAATAAAGAGGTTGCAGTTTTGTTGAACGTTCCTCATTAGTTTTGATGCGTACCCCCTTTTTTCTGAAGTTGTTGGTAATTCTGGAGAGGCAAATTAGTCTAATGAGCCTTGTAATGTGCAAAAAAAAGGTCATACAAAGCAGGTACATTTGATAAGTAATAAGACATTTCAGCTGCCTCTCCATATCAAAGGCGTAAAAAGGAGCTGCTTTTTGCATTTACTGATTTTTTTGTAAGGTCCTAGCACTGTTTCTGCAGGAGACGTCGCGTGACGTACGTTGATAGGCGACATTATAGAATCACCAATATACAGCGAAGTTGTTAGGTGTGAGTTCGTCTTTTTGTGAAGTTCTGAGCTTTTTTTTTATATTCAGTTTAATAGTACAGTGGCTTGAGATCAGTTTCGGATGTGTACGTCAATGCCTAGAGCCGTCAATTTGGCAGCGTTGTTGACTGCTTTAATGTATCGTCCGCCCAACAGTGCAAAGTTTCGGCTATTCATGCGCAATCGTCATGATAAGTTTAAAATGGCCGTAGGTGGCCTTTGCAAATGGGTATCAGCCGTTTAAAATTGATTTGGAAGAGACATTTACTTTATTTGCTTTATTGAACGTTGCACTTAATCTTAGAGACGCTGCATGGCCCTGAGGCCTCAGTAAGTTTCTTAATTAATAAATACACGTTAAGGTTGACTTACTTACAGGCTGTGCATTGCTAATAGCGCATCACGGCATATCTTATCTAAAATGGTAAAGCTCATAACACTCCTTCAAGTAGAATCATATCATTTTAAAAGATTATCATAGAAGTCTAGGCAGACTTCGATAATAGATTGCTTCAGCAGGGGACAAAAAATAAATACACGTATTGTGACATATTCGTCACCTATATTCTATCACGTTATGAACCTAAGTTCAGGTACGGTGTCTCTATCTTACTCGGGAATCAAGTGGGAACTTACGACTAGTGATTAACAAGTGGAAAGCCCTCGCTACATACATCAATAAGCGGACAATATGAGATTTTTCAACTTTTTTTTACCGTCATGTAACTATCGAATACGTTTTTCTGACAATATAGTGCTGCAGTTCGTGCTTATCGATATACCGCTAGTGCCGGATGAACTAAAAAAGGCACTAGGTTATACGAGCTTGACACTATTGAGAACCAAATGCGGTTAAACGGAAGTAGATAAAAAAAAAAAAAGTTAACTACCTTGGGGATGAATGCAAGTCTTACACGTGTTTCTACTACAATCAACCTTTGATTTTTCTTTTTATTTTCTAACCACACGCAACTTCCAGAGTCGGCTTTCATTGCTAAGTTGGTTCCTGTCCTACAAGTTAAATTAACTCTTCATTTATGCGGCTTATATAATAAATGAGAGAAGCGGGTGCCCTTTAAAGACAATTCTACAGTTGGGTTCAGATCATTATATTGTTCTGCTGCATGACGTTTTTAACAGTAGCTTTACCATGCACTGTCTGATGTCATGGATTTACTATTATATAGCTTTTATTTATTGAGAATTGACAAGAACTCTTAGGTAGATGATGACTATTAGTAAGTGCTTCTTTTCCTTTCATTCTATAGTTATAGCCACGGCCATGGTCTATGGCAAAAGTAGTTGTTAATATCTTCCCTAACTGGAAGATAGCCGCCGAGGAAGCGGAGCATCTGGATTTGTATGGCTATGACGTGGATACAGGAAATTCGATTCAATATAATACCGACGGCATTTTCGATATCACCCTGCAGAGGCACGAGCATTGAAGTTATAGCAGTATCTCCGTTGGGAAATCCTGTATGTATTGTAATTTACCTAAGTAGCGTTATTGTTTATAGCGTGCGTGATATGCATGTGTCAATAGTACGCAAATATATTGTCTCTCTTGATGAAGGCGCTTCTTGTTTGTTACTTAATAAATAGTCGACTAGACTCCAAACAGTAGTAATAAAAAAGTTACTTTAAAGTAAGTTAGAAAGTGTTTTATCTTTAAAATTTCAGGTATAGGCGGGCTCTAGGAATGGAGTCATGCTCACGTTGCAAACTGAAGACAAAAGATCCTGGTTTTTGAACGGTTTGAAAAATTTCTCAATGTCGAATTATACTAATCCCATTGAATTTTCAGAGGGCTAAAGTTTCAAAAGTTTTCTAGATCACCATCAAGATGCATACTTGTGTGTAGTAAGGCATTTTTCATCAGTTGCAAATACAATACGAGTTTGAAAGAGTCGTAAAAGCAAGCCATAATTAAATATTTCTCATGCGATGCCTCCCCATATGCCCAAAAATAACTGCCGGTATACCTAGGGTACGTTGAAAGGACACATTTTACGTGAACAAACAATTTACACTGTAGAAGACATGAGGGAGATATTCGCCTTCTTATAGGGAACTCCTTATCAAATATTTTCAGGGTGTGCATTGTCTTTAATTCGACAATGCCCCACACTAAATGGCTAGGAAACCGGGGACGATTATTAGCTGTTCACTTTACCATTTTCTTTAGTACATCTCAATTTTGCCCATGTAGCTGTTTAGGCTTTTCAGCTGCGACGATTTTGAAACCTTAGATTATTTTCATATTGGCTAGATTCATTGAATGTTCGTTTTGTTCTGGACAGATTTTACGTGTCGAAGTTACGTATCAAAAACGGGGCCAATTCTTATAGAGCTTTAAAAGGAGCCGCTTTAAACGGTGTTCAGATCGGAACTACATCCATTAGCGAGAATGAGGTGACACCTGTTCTCATACGTCTTCCAGGCTGCAGTACCAGAGTTCAGACACCAGAGGGTGTTTTAGAGAAAGGTAATATCAATAATTTTAGTACGTTTAGAGCTAATCGCAGTTTAGGAACCGTCCTGGATAGGGTGCTACCTTGAGACAAATTACTGTATGGCCCTATTTAATGTAAGTCATGAAGTTTTATATAGTATGTACTATTTTATTTGGGTATCGGGAGAGTATCTACACACGTTGAATAGCCATTATTCGATAGTAAGGCTCAAGGCGAACTTATCTAGTACTCTCATTCCTGAACTAATTTCCTCGAGTACTTACGCTTAGGTATTTTTCCGTAGTTCCATTCACTCAGGGTTTACTATTAAGTAGACTGTTGCAAGTGATCCCGGCGTACTTTGGAATAGAATAACATTTGAACTATAGACGATTTCGGCTGGCTTCACTGAAATCACTCTTAGAGAAATGGGTTTAGAAGGAAAAAAAGTCGTTCTAGCCTATAAAATAAATGTTCAGTGGTTAAATTTTTGTTCGCTCGAAAACCACAGTAGTATGGAAATTCATCGAAGATTGATGAAGGTATTCAGGAGGGAGACGTAAAGCGAAAACACAATGCGTTACTGGTGTAAACCTTTTAAGAATATAAACTTGGGTATTGAAAACCAAGAAGAAGAGGAGGTTGACCAGATCCCAGAACTCAAAGGATGAAAATATATTTCCGTAATCACGAAGGCGTTTCACGAATGCAGAACTCGGTGTCTAAAGGCTGTCTGATTGAAATTCTCACCTGTAATACGTTACGGAAGACATAACTAAATAAAAATAGGTCCTCCATCAATTGACTTTAGGCCAGCTGAAAATGCGTGTGGTGTGCTCCATATTTGTGAAGTTTGATTAATAAAACGGTCGCCATAGACTAGGTATGGTTCAGCCTCTACTGCCAGTAAGAGAGAGATCAGGTGGATGAATGGCATTGTTCTGAAGTCGGTGGCAGTGTCGAGCCGATTCGGACGTGAAGCCTTGATAGTACTGGTGACGGGCACTAGGGGCATCTGTTATATTTTAATATCGTCGAATATGGGACAACGAATGCAGTCCACTATGTTGAGTTTTCCTCACAAATCGTTGGCATGACAATCGAAGGTGCTTGATGTCAGCTTTGCCAGACCTCTCGTTTAGTTCGCGAATGCGGGGCTTACTATACCCTAACGTATTCCACTACTGCTTTTTTCAAGAAGCCATAG